GCGGGTCTTCAGGGTACAGATCCCCCGCGATAAACAAGGGACTACTGTACTTCTTTTTTGCCCTAACAAAACAAAACAAAATTATTTTTGCTAACTTAAATGTTATTATGGGCAGCACGATGGCTCAGGTGGTAGAGCTGTCCTTCTCAGCGAGCTGGACGCCCTGGTTCAAATCCCAATCTGGGGACCTTTCTGGGTGGAGTTTGCATGTTCTCTCTGAGCATGCGTGGGTTTTCTCTGGGTACTCCGGTTTCCTCCCACAGACCAAAAACATGCATGTTAGGTGGATGTATGTATGTTAATATATTGTGTTAGATTCTGAGTGGCTGAGGTCCAATTATTTTCTGTCGTAAATTTTTTTTGTCCTGGACCTTTTATCTCTGCTTCACTTGTTTACTTTCAGTTTTTAAAAAAATGTTTATATTTTAAATAATGTCTATTTCTAGAGTTGGTGTTTCTCATTTTGTCTATCTTCGGGGGAAGAGTCTGTGATAGATGGTGGGAATAAAACAAAAAAAAAAGGGCAACGAGTCAGACTGCACATTTGGAACTGCAATGACAGTTTCTCAAAATGATTTAACGTCACGCCTATCTGTTTTTATTTTCTCAAATAATTTAATACAACTATAAATCAGAACCTGTCTATTGACATCCTGATGCATGCTCAGTCTATTGACATGTTCGTGTTTTTTGCACTTAGAAATGTTGCATTTATTAACAAGCGTGGACCTTCATAGTGTTTTAATCTCACGATCAGAGATCCAACCGTATATTCGTCCATCCATCCCTCTGGCTGTACCCAGCAGTATAGTGCTCTATACTGTGCTGTGCTTCTTCAATGCCTTGGCAGCAAATTAAGTTAAAGTCTGTGTGGAAAAAAAGAAGCTCTTAAATGTTGCCATATGCAGGATTGCATGGGAACTTCCTGAGAAGCACATGTTGTTCTGGGTCTCTTGAAGAGGTGTTGAGTCTGTGTAGTCTGTAGTGTGAGACATGGTACGGTCAACCACCTAACAATGATAACAGAAAACAGCAATTTCTGTTGTAGCATAATATTATGGGGAGAAAAATGTCATATTTAGGACTTATCAATTTTGAACAGGTCAGGGGTTGTTTTGTTCTGTGAAGATGTCAGAGTGTTATTCTGTCTTGACATTTTGGGCTACACTTTGTATTTTTATTTTTTTACAAAGACGAGCTTCGAGGTACATTTTTCACAGTCCGTTTTTAAATTTTTTTGTTTTTCTTTTTATCCCGGAGATGCATTACTTTTGTTGAACCCCTCAAATTCAAGTTTACAGTAACAATAAAATACTGTGAAGGTGCTTTTAACCGTTATAACGTAATACATGTGCATTATGTTTTTCAAACCCAGAGTATGTATTTTTTTTAATTCTCTAAAATATAATTGCATTTTTTTATTTGTAATATGTTATGATAAAAGACATGAGTTTTGAGTTTGCAATAAAAGTAGAGCGGTTATAGAAAGTTATGCTTATACATAATTTGAGTTTCAATAGAGGCTGAGAACAAATGCAGACATTCATGTTTTAGAAATCTTTTTTTAACTGTTCACTTTAGTCAATGTGCACATGCTTGTAATCCTGTTCTATATTTACATGTTTTCATTTTCCTTTAACATCCTGATGGGAAAACCCTCCATGCTATGAAAAAGATAAGCTAAGTATGTGTTTGTGTATGTGATGCTCCTGCAGGATTACTGGTTTTCTTTGGTCTTCAAGCGTCTGGTTGGTCCGAGAGTCTTAGCTGTCCGGGTGGCTGGACTGCAGAGGAAGCCACAACCAGGGCGAGTCATACGAGACAAGCTACGCATCTATGCTCATTGTACCAGCTACGACAAGTACGTTCCATCATTCATCTGTTTGGTATTTTCTTCTAAAAATAATCAAGTTCGGGACAATGTGCCAAAGCTTTGGGAATGCCCTTAAAGCTTTAGATACAAAGCAGACTTGCCGCTGTGTCTTCTTGCAAATACCTGAGGCTCATTGTCTGGTGGGAAAGAACAAAATCCCTCGTCGTCCCATTTGGTTTCCCATAAATAAGCAGTTCGTGGACACCCGCTCATTCACAGCTCAGAGCCTATAAAACTGAACGGGTATCACTTATCAGGTGTGTGAGTTTTGTCTCCCTGTCGTCAAAGAGCTGCTGAAAGGTGTGCGAGGCCCAAGACTGGCTGGAGGGGGATGTTTGAGGGGTGTGGGACAATAAGGTAGTCTGTGCCTGGAGGAGATGAAGAGTGCCACCATGGCCTGTTCAAGGTTATCATTTAACCCAGACCAGCGGCTGTCAGCACCGGGTTAGACTTACGGCCTTGCTTCAGACGGTGGCTCGTTTGCAGGTGGAGCATCTCTTGGAAAAACAGCAGAAGATATTAGACAAAGATTTCAATGGGTGCACTCATCTGGCAAATTTGGGAGTGAAGAGGCCACGCGCTGGAGCTCAACTTCTACTGGAATGACGAGACAGTGAAGCTCCTCAGATTCTAACTCAATACAGTTGCCAAAATCTCTATTACTTTTCTACACGACCCATTAGTGGGCAACATTTACAGTCTTGGTGGTTTGTGTGTAAATGGTAAATGGACTGTACTTACATAGCACATTTCCATCTTATCAAGAGACTCAAAGCGCTTTACACTGCAATCTGTGCCCTCATTTACCCATTCATACAGCACTCTACTAGATATCTACGAATAATAATCAGTGCTTTATCACATTCATACACCAATGGGACACACATCGAAGGCAACGAGTTCAGTGTCTTGCCCAAAGACACTTCGGCATGTGACTGCTGGTGGAATCTGTTGGATAAATTAATAATCCAGTCATCAACTCATTAATCAAATAAGCCACGCAAAGGATGCAAGTAGAACTTTTCAACACAGGTTTACTTCTTGCAAGGGGTGCAGCATAGAAAACAGGCTTACAACGATGTTATACAAAGCTCTTGTCCAAGGTCTGCCCCCGGACAAAGAGTTAGGAAAAGCTTGAATACTTGTTATCAGATAGAGGCAAGGTCAAGACGACCTCTGCTTCACAGCTCACAGTTCTTGAAGGCGTCAGAAGTGCTCAGTTATCAAACAAAAAGGTTTGTAAGCTCAGTCGTCCAGGTAGATAACAACAAAAAGGATAAGTGGTGTCATCTGGTTGGCAGGACATAGACTGAGGAAGTCCTCTGGATTGGGAACAAAATGTTTCTCACTTAAAAGAAACTGGTCCGGATGAAATGATTTAACCTTTATCAGTTATCAGACTCCTCTCTAAGTAGACAGACTCTTGACTTCACATACATAGTTCTATATTATTTTAACATTCTATATTAATTTAACATCAGTAAGTAATAACATCGGTGACCTTTACATCACTTCTCCCATCAGAATCGAACCCCCAACTCTCGCATTGGAGGACGACTGCTCTAACCACTTAGCCACAGCTGCTCAAATGTCTCCAGGCAGTTGATGATTTTTGCAGTTTAGATATTTGACTTTCACTACCCTTTCCACACACAAAAAAAATAAAAATGGCAGTGAAACCCTTTTAGTGGTTTGCAGTAGCTTTATATACATATATATATATATATATATATATTATTATTTTTTTTTTTTTTTGTCTTTCTGCTGATGCTCTAACATCAAACAGCATGAGGATACCTTTATGTTTCTGGTTTGGGGCTCTGAGAACCTCGTCATTTGAAAGGCCTGCGAGGTCATTATCGATTCCAGCATCTTAACCATGGATGGATTCAGAACCGTGTTCCAGATTTCTCAACAACAAAGCTTCAAGAGCTTAGCCCAGAGCCAGACACACTGCACTCCCAGCGACAGTGCATTATTACATGTCTCCTGGACATTATAGCGAATATTTGCTGTCTTGCAGGGTAATGGAATAAATGTCTCACTCTGCACCCAAAGAAAGGTAAACATTCAACCAAAAACAAGTCTGCTGTTAGGATATGAGATTTTTCAGGGGGGTCATATCTAGCGGACTATTTAGCCTTGACCCTGAACACCGCAGCTGACATGTGGTTTTCACTACAGCTGTGTTGTCTTTCTCCTCATGTCTGGGCCCGTATTAAATTTTATCATGTTTGTCTTATCTGTCCTACTTGGTTATTTACCTTTAGCTAATATTCCTATCAAGTTGTGTCCCCGGTGCTTTGCTCCGTGCAGAAGGATTTAAACACTGTTGAATGAGTAACTCAAGAATTGTTGCCCTTTTGGTTACCACCCTTCATTTGACCCTGCGCCACACAATGGCAGGTTCAAACTTTTAATACTGTATACATCAGAAATAAAATGTGTGTGCTAAACACAGATAAGATATAGAACCTCATAAAATTCAGCTTGCGGCTCAGTGGATTTCCTCTCTTTAAGCGTGCTTAAATTTATATTCTGGATGTTCTGAAGGCCTTTTGATCCAGACTAGATAAATGAGCTGTGGTTTTACATGTGATAAAACGATCAAAGACTTTTATGCTCTTTGTATTCATCTTTAATTATGAAGTTTTTTATTCATTGTGACGTTCTAATATACAATAAATCCCCTCCCATGAACAGATGTGGAGAGGGTTAATTTTAGCTCTTCACTGATAGTCCTTTGAATGTAAAAGTAATGATGTGATCTTTCTTTGTGGCATTAGTCATAACTACGTGAGGGGGTCCATAACGATCTACATCATCAACCTGCATCGGTCGAGGAAAAAAATCAAGTTGGCGGGGACGTTACGGAACAAGACGGTCCACCAGTACCTGCTGCAGCCCCACGGCAAGGATGGACTCAGAGCCAGGTTGAGTTTCTTTCACATTTATTCTAAAACCCCAAACACCAAATTACTAACCTCTAATGATGAGATTTTAGATCATAATCGTGAAAAGTAATTATTCGATGCAGTGGACTGAAACGAAATGAAGAAAAAACTGAAGAATTTCATAAAACGGGTTTAATGGTTGAACCTTTATAGGGTGTTAAACGCAGGCCCTTTTAGAGAGCTGCTTGGAATCGAGTTATTTTAATTTAAAGACCACAGCGAGCCATTTATGCTGAGCCGGCATGTTGCGTAAATGCTGCACCACAAAACATGCAAATAACACACTTCAGGCTCCTGCTTACTTAGTACCAAACCAATAAAGCGCTCTTCTGAAAACAAGTTTAATAAAACCAATGAAAGAATTGTTGAATTTTTTTAATTGTTTTTATGTCAATAACAATCTGTGAAGGTTGTTTTTTGTGTGGCTTTAAAAAAATAGCGGTTTTAACTAAGGATGCACGATATTATCGGCATGGTATCGGTATCGGCCGAAATTAGCGATAAAGTTAAATATCGGACATCGGCCATTCCATCAAAATAACTCACCGATATAAAAGACACTTTTTAATTTATATAAATATATATATATATATATATATATATATATATATATATATATATATATTAAGGCACTGTTTTTGTATGACAACCCAGTGACAAGGATGCCTGCAGCGCCAGCACAACGTTATTACGTCACACGTGCCGTTGAGTTTAGATTTGTGAAAATTTACAAATTTGCAGTGTTCAAGTGTCATTGTGTTAGAGAGAGTAAATGTCATGAATAAATTTGACATTAAACATAATCCAAGTTGAAGTGTTACATCATTTTCAGTTCCCTTTTAGGCCTCTGCATTTGGTAGCAGACCAAACTGACATAGACCATGCAAAAAGCTATGTAGTCTCTGTAAGTAGGTCTAGGAAAAGGGTATTGGTATTGGTATTGGTATTGGTATCGGTATCGGTTATCGGCCGAATAAGTTTTAACTTATTGGCGTATTGGATGTCAGCCAAAAATCCAATATCGTGCATCCCTAGTTTGAACACTTCACAATGTTCACTTTAGTCTCAGTCAGAGTATTCGTGGAGCAGTTTTGTTCCATCACACTGTGTTGACAAAAATTAACATATATTATAATGCATTTCTCATTTTGTATTCCTTTAATTTAACCCAGGGGGTGTCCAAACGTTTTCATAGGTGGGTCAGAACTGTCTTGAATCACACGTGTCAAACTCAAGGCCCTTGTTAACATCTTATCTGGCCCCCAAGATGATATTTTAAAATCAAAACATTTTATTGCTTCTCATTTTACTTAAAAAAAATCTGTGCGTACTTTATTTAGTTACGTTTTTTTTTTGTTTTTTTTTTGTGACAGTCAGCCAACGTTGAAGCCAAAATTTTCTATTGTCTTTTTCCGTAATCTGTTTTTGATGCGGTAAAAGCGACCGAGAACATCAAATGAGGCTGATGAAACTCTTGTTAAGGAACCTTCAACCAAGAGAAGATGTCCGGTATCAAACTGGAGTTATTGTACTGACAGAAAGTGACCTTTGGTTTGAAAGAAGTTTTTAATTTCCACCCGCTTTAGTTTGACACACCTGAAGGACTCGCCGGACAGGAAAATGTGAATTTAAGAAAATTAAAAAATATATAAAGTGTATTACCCCTCCCCCCCATTTTTAAACTCTCAACAACTTGAACAGTATTTTGGAGAAAGGCTAAAAGTTTAGTTTAAATTCCTGTAGATCCAGAACATTACGACCCTCATTGACTTTTTTTATTTTAAGAATTTAATTTATTAGATTTTTTGGGGTCTATTATTTGTTTTCTTGTGCTTGCAACGTTCATCTTCGTTAATTTTCAAAAATAAAAGCCTAAATTGAGTAACTGCTCTTTAAAAAAGGGGGTGGAGCTTCAATCACCCGTTTGGACCATGGACGGCCCTGAGGGTCATCGAAGTTGTGAAAAATCGTCCAGCTGGCAGTCGCTAAAACAGATTCATGGAAGGTTTGAAAAGACACTGATAAAGTTGATCAACTTGTTAATAACACTTTATATTTCTTCAAAAATGTCCAATTTCTCCCTGTCGATAATTAAATCACCTGAAATAATTTTCTTTGAAAACACTTGTTATATTTAGCCAAGTTTTATGAATTCTTATCCAAAATTCTACTTTTGGTAGGTCAGTGAAGGTTTGTTGTAGGATAAAGGGATTAATTACAGCTAAATATTTGTATTGTACTTAATTTTGCTCATTTTGAGACGATTATTTCAATATGTTTTGCTCTTAAACCTAAAATTTTAGAAAGTATCAGCATTAAATCTAAAGAAGGTCTACATCTGCATCAAACTCTGAAGCCTGTGGGTCAAAATTGTAACATTCTTTAATTGCAGTTGTGGGCCGCACGAAATCACTCCAGGGGCCGCAAATGGCCCTCGGGCCACACTTTGGACACCCCACTTTGTACATTTTCTTTTTAATGTTTTCATCCACAATGTTTTCAGCTTCATGTAGTGCAGTCACGTAACTCCCATTTGCCTAAAATGACCCTTAAAATTAAAGCTTTATAGTTATATTCTGGTAGCACCTGGCCTGTTAGTCCAACTTTGACTTGAGCCTGACATCCTGTAATAACACCCTAATGACTCACGACTTTGAGTGTGTGTGTGTGTCTGTTATACGTTACTTGCATAGAGCCTTAATAGAAGCATAGGCATAAACCCTCAATAACAGCGTAATGATGAAGGATGTTTTAGGTGTTAGAACAGGATTGCAAGGCAGTTAAAAGGCGAGCGGGCTAACGATGTCCCATTATCTGTCTTTAAGTGCTTCCCTTTACCACAGGCTGTGCATGAGACTTTAATGATTGATTCAACAGCACCAGATGTCTAAAAAGAACTTGTAGCGGGACTTTTAAAAATGTTTAGACTAATGCATAATGCATGTTCAGACTAATAACTTTAACCGGCAAAATGAAGTGCACTGCTGTAAACATGATTTAAAGCTTACGTGCTTCCAAAGTTTTGTTTTCCATTTCTAAAACATTTTCACAACTATTTTCAACTCAACCCATTAAACACATTGTTAAACATAAAGATTTGTTCCTTGGGTTTAAAACTGTTCTTACGTGACGTCAAGAGTTAAACTGAAACGGAGTGTAAATGTTAATAGTTTCGACAAAACCACTAATGTTGATTTTTCTGTGCAAAGACAATATTATATTTTTACAAAACTCAAACGCAATTATTTAATGGTTCACCTATTTGTAAAATACCATGTTTTTGCTCCTATTGTGAACAAATAGACGGTAAATGTCATTTATTGCCACGTGCATTTGTAGGTAAAACGGTTAACAAAAAATATAAAGTGATAAAAGCTATAAATTTAAACATACAGATAATTATCAGCCTCGCATGTTTCTTACCATAAATATCAGCAGTGTTTGTCAAAGCCCAACATTTCTATTGAATTTATTGAAAATCTTTTATTTTGATGCTGCTCACTTTAGACTAATTCCAAGAAAAGAAATGATTTTCGGCAGGTTTAAGTGACATTTCCACCAGGTTTAGTTTTGTTGTTTAATTACAAAGTTGTTGTAGCAGCGCCCTCAAGTGTACAACTGACAGAAATATGATTTTTAATGAAGTGTCTGATTTTTATCTTCCAAAACTGTGTGCCAAAAACCAGCAGCAGAACTCGGACAAACCAACTCATTTTGTGTTACGAACAACAATTTCTTGTTTTTAATTTGCAGTTTTCAGTTCAGCCTTTTGTTTAAGCTGGAATGCAGAGACTCAATCAATCATGGCTATTTTTTGTTGTTGTTGTTGTTGTTGTTGTTTTGGTTTATGTTTTCTTGCAACTAAATAGCACAAGTGTTATTACTGCAGACTGTGTGCAGAACAACAGCACTCTTTATACGTCTGCTCTTTGCTTTGCAGACATGTCGAGCTGAACGGGGAGAAGTTGCTCATTCAGGACAACGAGACGATCCCAGAGCTGAAGCCTAAAGTTCTGAGGGCTGGCCGGACGATAGCAATGCCTCCAATGACCATAGGCTTTTACGTCATCAAAAACATTAATGCGTACGCCTGCCGGAGATAACAGCAACCCTTCAAAGCACAGTACCGCCAGTCCTCTGGACTCAAAAAACAACAACAAAAATGGAGGATGTCGTCGACTGTGTGTACTCTTCATCCTTCCGACTCTTGGACACACCAGGACTTTCTGGGTAAATGACAGCCTGTTAGCATTTTTTGTAATATTTAAGCTACAGATAAACTGTTCTCCTGTTTTCTTCTTTGTTCTAACACTTTCCCATGATTCAAATGGGCGAGCTGCACTGCAAAATACTTTTTAAATTTTTGTATTTTACCATCAATCCCTCAAATCTACTAAACTTATGTGAACAGGATTTGTTTTGGGACTGTAACAACAGTTGTGTTTTGTATTTTACAAAATCAACAGAAAATATGTATTTGGTTTGATTAAGCTGTTTTTTTTGTTTTGTTTTTTTCTTTGCCTTTATATTTTTGAGGGGTTTTGTTTAAATATTTCACTTGTATTGAAATACTTTTGCGGTATATAATGAAAACTTTCCAGAAACTTCCCGTGAGAAAGTAAGCAGAGGAATTTTTAAAATATTCCAAACTAGAAATGTCCCATGGGAATTATAGGAATTTATAAAAAAAGTTACTTGAAAATTGTGGATAATTTAAATAAATATCATATATCAATATTTTTTTGTTGTAGTCAGATAATGTCCGAGATAATGAGACTGATCCAAGCTGAGAATTACAAAGTTAATGACATAAATAGCATCACTAATAACACCACAGCACCTTCTTGGATCAACCGTCGGAGAACAAACGGATTTTAAACTTTTCTATTGTTCTCTTGTTATTATTATTAATATTATTATTATCCTTTTTTTAAATCTTTAACACACTTATCTATAAAAACATTCATGTTCTATGGTGTTTTTTTATGTTTTTTTGTACTAATATTAATAAAACAAACAAAATTTAAATCAGTAAAATGCGTATTACAAATAAACTGGTATGTTTAAATTACACTACATATATAAAATGTCAAACTTTATTCCCACAAATAAAGCATTTTGATTTTATATCGACATAATTCTCAGTAAAATGCATTTTGTAACGTAACTCTTAACTAAACTTTTTACTTTTTCTTTCTGTCCTTACACGTCCAGGTTATAAAGTTGAACATGTTTTAGAGTATTGTTGCTCTCTACATGATGCAGCGATGAACTCTGGTTTGTTAAATCAAGATTAAACTAAAATATAGTTTTCCCCACTGTGTTTAAAATCACTGTATTTTAAATTCCAGGTTTATTCCCATAAATTCCTGTAAATTCTTATAACTTCCCGTTAATTCCCATGGAAACTTTCCAACTGGAAATTCTGCAACCCTTTTTTTTCTCAGATTACCATTAAAAAATACAAAAAATACCATCGCGTGTTCATGTTTGAACTACCGACATGTTGTGTGTCTGTGTTCGTGTGTAAAAGTTTAAAGCTACTGATGTGTCCGTTCAGTCCGCTGAAAGATGTTGTATCAAAGGGCTCATATTGAGAATGTGCGTTTGTATCCAAGTGCCTTTTTTTCTGTACTTTTGTATTTTTGTGCACGTTTCAGTTCACTGCAGAGGACTGCAGTCATGGTGATTGTCAGCTAAAGCTAATGAACGTTACAAACCTTCTGAGGCCACACAATTATTTTTCTTATTAGGTTAAATAAATGTAATATACCAGGTTTTTTTTTTTTATTTAGATATACTATAATGTACCTTTTAATTTGTGTTTTTTGGTCCAATCTTTATTTGCTGCTATGTTTTTTTTTTTTTTTGTATAGAATATATATGATATATTTTACATTTTTGTACAGATTTATTGAGCATATTCGATAATGTATATTTTTAGATAATGTACATACAAAGTATAGAGATTTAAGCTTGATATCTTGCAATCAGCGTACGACTAATTTATATGATAAAACACTTTACTTGCGCTTTATATTTTTTATATAAAATTCCAGATATGTTAGCCAATACAACCTAACCAACAAATTCAAAATATGTACCGGATTATATTCACTGAATGCAGATATTGTTGTGCAGAGAAACGATGCCGGTGGGTGTTATTGATTAGCATAAGGTGCAGCTTTATTTTAATTTTTAAGTAATTGCATTCAATTGTATTTTATAATGTTTTCACTCGACTGTTTAAATATATTTTTTAGAAATGTAGTGCTCTGAAGACAACAGTTCATTACCCCTGCATGATGGAAGGTTCAGTCCTGAACATGATAAATATTTGCATCTGAATGCATTTATACTTTATTTAGAGATGTTTATATTCGTTCAGAGTCTTATTTTAATATGTAAAGTGTGCCTACATTATTTTTTTTAAGTTTACACAGATAATAAACACTTATCAAGTTGTGTGTCATGTATGCTGATTTCAGTCTCCATCTTTCTTGATATACCAGCCTCCACAGAGAGATCTTCAGGGGCACATGGAGGAAGAAAAGAAACAAAAAGATGAAAGATGTGACTTATATTTGCACGGGAACACAAAGGGAAGCAGATAAATCCTCGTGCCATAAATACAAGCTGTCAGATTCTTGCAGCATCCCTTCTCAATAGTTTAATAACTTAGTGTTTTTGGTGCACTCGCTCATTCTTACATGAACATAGCATGCTACATTCTCCTGCCACAGATGTGGAAGCAGCTGGAGCAAGCCTTTGTAGTGGCGTCTTGTCCCTGCGTGAGGCATCTGCTGCTGATGGGAAACACTGAGCTCGAGCTCCAGATCTCAGCGTTGGCCCAGATGAGCTGAACCTGAGCCGCTCGTGGCTCAAGAGTCAGCTGATGCACGTGTACGCAGGTTTCGCTCGACGGGAAGGACGCTGAGGGTAAATCATCTCAGTAGGTTTGTCTCAAAAACTGCACTGATTTTTGTAGGAACATTTCATGAACATGATGCTAATCCGAAGCGTTCCCATTGAATTGTATTTTTGTTCCGAGTTCCATTCATGGGAAACGAGCTGCTTTTATGCGAGAGGCAGAAATGTTTTTGCCTGTCTTCAAATATGGGTTCACTTCAAATAGACCTAAACTTTGGACAGGCACGAGTCGAAGCAGACTGACACCTGGCCCATTCCGTGTATAATGTTATTCACTGTACTGTTGGTCAATTAGATAAAAGACGCTTTATTTTGGAGTCACGGTGACAAAAAGTAGACTTAATCAGAAAGAATATGATAAACTGCAACTAATTTCAGAATGTGTTCATATCTGCTGTTCAACAACTGGAAGTGAACTAAAGTCCCCTGCAAATATTGTGCAATCAAATTGAAAATCTCTGACCTGAAAGTGACGTGTTCATGCTAACTGGTGAGGCATCAATGACGATGAGATAAAACTTTGTTGTCTACCAATGTGTGGTAGAAATTCTCCTTTAACATGCTCTACGTTTATTCATTCATTCATTTGCAAGAAACAAAACAAATTCATCATTCTTTGTTGAAATCAGGTCTCTTGTAAATGAGTCCTCGGGGCTCGATGGGATTGAACAGTCTAAATAAAGGTTGAATGAAAAAAAATTCATCAAAAAGAAAAAAACAAACATTGAATGAAAAGCGTTCAGAAAGAAGAACATTCTTATCTGCCCCTTATTAAAAAAAAATATATAAAATAACTCCGGCTTGAACAATCCCCAAAGTGAAAACAAAAAACATCAGGCATATTTCACATGCTTTCCTAACAATTTTCACTTTATCTTTTTAAACATATAAATTGTTTTGGAAATTTTTATGACTATATCAAGGCGATTCCATAATCCTGTTCCCTGAATTACAACGCGCTCCTTCAGACTAGTTCTGAATGGAGGTTTTACTAACATTTCCATTCCCTTAAGGTTATAATGACTCTCTTTTTAAACTAATTTTAATTAAATATTTGGGGGTAATATTTTTTAATGAACTTGAACATGACTTGTAAAATAATATATTCAACCAAATCAAAAAAATTTAATATATTTGTTGGGTGACCATAGCACTTAATAATTCTTATAGCTCTTTTTTGTAAAATAAAAATAGGATTTGTAATTGTTTTGCTTTTCCCCAAACTTCAATGCAATAGATTAAATATGGAACAATCATTACATTATACAATATCTATAAAGCTTTGTCATTCAAAAACTCTTACTTTATTTTGCTATTTTTATTCTTAAGTAATTTACATGAGATTCCCATGTCATCTTCTCATCAATAACTACACCCAAAAAATGTTATTTCATTAACTATATGAATTTTAATACTGTCGATTTTAAGTGGGACTTCGATCATTTTATTTCTATTACTAAATATCGTGTAGTTTGTTTGTTCCAAATTTAATGATAACTTACGTTGGACCCAAGTTTGTATTTTTACAAATTCTGCCTGTATCTCTAACACCACTCATCATTCATACACAAGAACCAACAATAGAACATGATAAAGAAAAACCACATTATCATCATTAATTACCACCATTAAGGTGTGTTTATTTAGCTTTGTGTAAGAACATTGCTGCAGATGGTACAAATGATTTCTTATAAATATTCTTCCTGGCCAGTGGGACTCGGTAACTCCTGTTTGATGGAAGCAGATGTGTTGTGGATGCGAGGGGTCCTCGGTGATCAGGGTGGCTTTCTTGGTCACTGAGCGGCTGTAGATGTCTGACAGGGAGCACAGAGGTGACTCAGTTATCGCACTTGATTGTTTAATTATTCAGTGTAATTTGGCTTTCTGTTTTGCATTGATGAGGTTGAACCAGGATGAAATATTAAAAGTTAAAGCTGCACCTCGTGACAGCTAGTGTACGTCACTTCCTCTGACAGAACCTAATTGTGTTGTGATTTAGAAGGACTGCTCTGTGTCTGGATAGTTCTGCATGACAGTGTCTCTTTGAGCCCACCAAACACTGTTTATACTCAGAGATCCACTTTGAGTCGTGCACGGCCCCCCCTTTGCCCTGTTAGCAAACACTAAGGGATTTCACCATGTTTACTCTGTATATACAGGAGTCAGTTTAAATAAGACTTCCATGAATGCAAGATCCCCAGAAAACTGATGGACTAGATTAGATTCTGGCCCGGGAACTTAGGCGTCTTGGCATTTGGGACCGTTTTGACCCGAGCAAGGTTATTAAAACATAAATATTTATGCTGCTTTGCTCCAGTCGGAGGCCAAGCGAGCAGCCTGTGTGGAATATTATGATATATTGCAGATTTGTTGAAACTATCTAAACTTTCTCTGAGAACCAGCCTGGTGTTTGGAAAAAGATGGAACAAAAACCCTGCAAAGGGTTTTGAATAAGCTAAAATTAATTTAACGTAAGTTTGTCAGAGGTTTTAAAAATCAAAAGACATTGATTGTTCTGAGTTTACTCGCGAGACCAACAAATGGATGTTGATGAGCTCCATACTGCCTGTCTCAGGTTTATTTGTCTTCTGACGAATAGACATAACTCTTTGTTAAAATAAATAAATAAAGCTGTTTAATGCTTTCATTCTATAAAAATCGAGACAAGCACCTGGTTGAGCTTCTTACAACTAATTAAATTACTTACTAATATGTCACAGACATGCAAAAAAAAAATTCTAAAAAGGTATTTGATTAGGAAAGGTTCAGAAAGACAAACTAGACATTTCTTTGGACAAACGTGCTTAACCACAAAAAATCTGTTTCCCAACATTTCCAGTGGGTTTTAGAAAGAAGACGTCTCTGTTCCTGCTCTTTTAAGCTGTTTTTGCCTTCATAATCCAAAACAGCATTACTTATAAAGTGTTTCACTTTGTTTGGAAACTTTCGGCTGCTCCCTTCTTCGGAGGTCACCACAGCGAACAAACTCATGTAAAGTTTGGCAATTGTAGGACCAGCACTGAACATCTAGCTACAACCGTCTTAATTGTTTAGATACTAAATGTGTTTTTAAAATGACAATTTAAAAATTAGAATTTAATCTATGCTGACTGACAAGTTTAACAGACTGAATTGGCCCTGCTTTCAAAACAGCAGAAACCTCAATTTTTCTGCATGAAGTAACTTTTTAAAATTAAGTAAGCATGTAAAAATTGGGCAGTGCGGTGGATTAGTGGTTAGCACTGTGGTCTCACTGCAATAAGGTCCTGGGTTTGTTCCCCAGGTTAGACCTGGGGTCTTTTTGTGTGGAGTTGGCATGTTCTTGTGTTTTTGGTGGATTTCCTCCAGGTACTGTGGTTTCCACCCACAGTCCAAAAACATGCAGGTCAAGTAATCTTCAGGCCCAGACCTCCATTGCAAAAAAGATCTGTGAACTCAATGGGATTTGACTGGTTAAATAACGGTCATTAAATATAAAAAAATAAAATAATTAGTTGTCTGCAACATGTAATATTCCAGCAGTTCATTTTATGGCCACTAGATGGCGCTAGATCTTTATCATTATTTTTGTTTATTGTTTTAAATGTAATTCAAAAACTTTTTTTTACTTGGATTTTTGCTTACATTTGAATGTATATTATAATGAAAAAACATAGGGATGTTTTCTATTATTCGTTTATTTGACTTGAAATGGCCTAAGCGGGAACACAGTGGTGTGCACACCAGCCCCTTTCCCTGAGTGCTTCTGGTTTTATATGATGTCATCCACTGACTCCCATCAGCATCCAGCAAAACATGTTTGCACACATCACCATGACAATGTCAATAAAAAAAATGCTGAGAAACTTGGTGACATTTCAAATTTGAGCCCAGTACATATCCGTCTATACTTTTTATTCACAGACACTATTGTCTAAAAAAAGATTTCTCACACAACCATGCTATAAATCATCTGTGTAACAGAATCGCCTCTCTAGAAGAAATATTTGTCCTTTAGGATTTGTTAAAATGTTTTTCTCACATTATTTTTCTAATTAAAAATCTAGTTTTATTTTAAAGCAACTCATGTGGGCCAGATACAATAATACAATACAATGCAACTGTCTTCAAAGCAGGCATTAAAACCATAAAATCAACAGATACCGTTAAAGTAATGAACTACCAAAACCATAAAACAGCTAACAATAATAAAAATAAACCAATAATTTAAAACATTAAAACCAACATTTCAAGCTGAGTTAAAAGCCAAAGAGAAAACGTGTTTTCAAAGAAAATGTAAAAACAGGGAGGGAGTCAGCTTGTCTGACGTGTAAAGGCTCATTCCACAGTTTAGGAGCAGCGACTGAAAACACTCGGTCACCTCTCAGCCTCCTGTTAGACTTTGAGATGACCAACAGCAGCTGATCTGCTGACCTGAGAGAGCGAGAGTGAGGGAACGTACAGCTGGAGCAGGGATATGGCCCCTGAGCCACCAGTTGAATACCCTGGTTCAGCTTTAGTAAAACAATTCATTTGCATAATTATATGTTTTGCATTTACACACATTGGGCAAAAACAAGAAGAAATGCATAATTTCCACTTTAAAAAGTAAAATTTTAATGCTTTTATAAAAATATGGCTCTTGAGGGTTATTTTTTTCCTGATTGAGAATGTTCCTGACATTGTAAACCAAAAAAAGAGAAAAAGGTGGCAATCTTTGTTCAGCGACACGGTGGAGTCTGTTCTGTGTTTTTGTACACTTGAGGCTACATTTAAAACGATTTTTAAACCTGATGGAGCACAGCTGTAACACAGCTGGACAGCACAGCTCTCTGCAGAGAGTGGTGAAGGCTGCACAGAAGTCTGTTGGAGTCAGCCTCCCCACCATCAGACATCTACACCTCCAGAGGCAGGAAGAGGGCCACATGCATCATGAAGGACCCCACTCACCCAGCACACACACTTTTTGCCCCACTCGCCTCAGGCAGAAGGTTGAGGAGCAGTAGAACCACTAGACTCAGGAACAGCTTCTACCCTGAAGCTTGTAAATGAGTCCTCGAGGCTCAGTGGGATTTACCTGTCTAAATAAAGGTTGAATGAATGAATGTTAGACTCGTGAATCCCTAAACAGGAAAACCACTGTAATGCCACTTTACTTGGAGATTTGACACTTGATATGTGCTGCTGATTATCCATGCTGCTGATCTCTTGACTTTAAGTTGCTGGATTCATACCCATCTGCTCACAACAGACTCATGCTCAGGCTGCTGTTTAATACATCATATTATATTATATTATTATTGTTTAGCATGTGTCTTAGATCTTTGCATAATGTTTATTTTTTATAGTTTATTTTGGGTGTAACTGGGACCTTGAGTACACAATTTCGTTCCACCTCATGTACCACATGTGACGCGAATGACAATAAAGAACCTTGTAAACATGAAACATTTAATTGATTTTCTGAACATAATGGGGAGAATCCTGTGTACAGTATGAGCTATAACAAAACTTACCGTTTAGTGTGAACTCATATAAAAGTTTTTTTTTCCTAATGGGAAAACCATCCAACAAAAGGGCAATAATCTGTCTAATCCCATTGAAGCAACATTCCACAAATACCAGACTTTAAACACCCCCCCAATCATCCTGTCATGTGGCCCTTCATGCTGCAGCACGTGACCTGTGGCTCCCGGAAGAGAAAAAGCTTCGCTTCTCAGCCTTTTAGCTAAATCAAATGTAGCATCTGTTCGTATCAGTTTCATATCTGTAGGAGAAAAAGGCAGAGCGGATAGCCTTCTGTCTGTTTATCTCTATTCTCTTTTTCAGGCCTGCTTCCGGGTGCTCAGGTCACGTGACTCGGCGTTTTGTCGTTTGCGGAAGAAAGCAACGCGACGAATGACAGCGACCTGCGAACTCAACACACTGAGGAGAAACTCTCTCGTTTTGGGTCCAAACAGACGCTGAGCCGAGATGCTGGGAGTGTTCATCGACAAAACCCCAGAGTGAGTCCATGTTGCGTCAACTAAGAAGTTTCTGTTCTTTTAAAGCAATGGCGGGACCTTCATGAATGGAGGAAGTTGAGTGGAAGTTCGTTAATTAGTTTTTTTTTTTTGGTGGGGGGGTTAAAATAAAAACGATGAAACCGAAGAAATTAGGTGTGAAAACTGTTGCATCGTTGTGTTGGAGAATGACGCAGAAACTGTGGAAAAGACTGATCTTTGGTCTCTGAGGGCTCAGTTCTAGTCAATATTCTGCTAAACATCAACACGTGGGCTCGTTAAAAAAAGATTAAAGGCATTTGAAACCTAAACTCAAAACATTTTTTAATTTATGCCATATACATAATGCACAGAGACATTCAGACCAGTTATTATATAAAAGATCTTTATAAAGTTTTGCAGTGTTGGGGGGGGGGGGGGGATTAGTGTCCTAATTGATGTCTGAGCTTCACTAAACTCCTCCTTGCTGTTGTCCGTCTTTCACCTTTACACTTTTAATAATGACTTTCTTTCCAGAGTAAAGTGTGTGGGGGTGTTGGCGTGAAGCGGACAGCGGGGTGCAGCAGAGCAGGAGCACATCTGGGGTCCAGATGAAGTGTTTGCTGATAGCCAGCGAGAGCGCCGAGGTCCTTTTTCACTGGACTGACCTGGACTATCAGCAGAACATCCAGGAGCGGTATGGAGCCGCGCAAGAAGAAGGGGAGGAGGTAAGAAGGAGGAAGATCAAATCCATCACATATTTGTACACGTTGCATAAAATAAGTATTTTTCACTCCTTTTAATGTCAACCTTTTTGTTTGTTTTAGCTCCCTGCCTTTGAAGACATCCTGAGCACTCTGTTTGCTCCGATCATCATCTCCTACAGCACCATGGAGGACAGCTACACCTCCTTCACCACAGCCGACAACCACATCTACGTGCTACACCAGGTATTATCCGCCATTCGGGATGAAAGCAACCTGTATCACGTCCTTTAGAACGTTTCGCCGTGATGCTTCGTTAGAATGTCAAATGTTCGTAACTTGAATCTCGAGTTCTAGAAGCTGTAAAAGGCACATGCAGTGGCTTAACGGCTTGAATGCAGGCCTTTCATTCAGCAGCCTGTCATGTGAGTCTTGTTAAGGAATCAAGCACAAGCACATGATGCGGTTACGTAGTCCTTTTAAGCCACGCAGAGCAGAATGGGGTTCAGGTCAGCGCTTCCTCAGAGCATTTTCTGTTATTTTCATGTGCATAAGACAAAACTATTCTCGCTTTAGTTAGCAAAAAAACAACAACTCATAAACCACTGGATGGATCTTAATGAAACTCTTCCGAAAGTAATCATTAAATGTACATTTTGAATTTTAGTCGGCCTCGTTCAAGATGGCTGTCTCAGCAAACACATAAGTGGCTATAGCTGTTACGTTTACAGCTATTGAGCTAAAATTTGGTGTACCGTATTCTTCGGACTATAAGGTGCACCTGGTTATAAGGAGCAATATCGATGAACGGGTCTGTTTTCATACATAAGGTGCACCGGATTATAAGGCACATTAAGTGAAACAAAACAGTCAGATAAGTCAAAGTTATTCAACTCGTTTGCAATAACCTCATAAAACTGGTTCGAGGTCGGTAAGCACAACCAGAATTAATACATAAGGCGCACTGTCGATTTTTGAGAAACTTAAAGGATTTGAAGTGTGCCTTATAGTCCGAAAAATACGGTAGTTGTAGGTGATAGTCGTTGTCAGTGCATTAACTGAGAGGTAGCACATCTAATGAAGTTGTGCTTTCATTCAACCTTTATTTATACAGGTTAATCCCATTGAGCCTCAGGGCCTCATTTACAAGAGAGAGCTGAGACTATCATTAATAAATTTCGACCAAAACAGTTTTTCTTCTCATCATAAGATGATCGGTGCTTAAACTTTGGCATGAAAGGAGGTGGGCGAGATGCATCCAGTCAAGCAATTCCAGGCTTTTAGTTGTATTTGCTTTTGCCTGCAGTTTGATGAGTGTCTCTACATCGCTTTGAATGGAGACGGTGAAGAGAAGGAGGATGATCTGAGGAGAAAACTGTACGTGGTGAAGAAGATGATCGATGTCATGTTTGGCATGGTCACCCTGAGCGGGACCCTCCTGAGAAAAGAGTAAGACACTCTGCGTTTTTACAGGATTTTAGAATGGAATGGAATTGAAGTGGACATCTGGGTGATGCATGAGCCACGTCGTTTGTCTTCAGGCTGCGTCCTCAGGACACAGAGCAAAGAACACGACTGTGGAAGTATCTGCAGAGTCTCATCGAGACCTACAGCCACCTCCGGGACAACGACCAGAGTTTCTTAGTTGAGGTTTGTCAGTTTCAACAAAATGATTCGGTGTGCGTGTGCGTGTGTGTGTGGAGATACATGGATGAATGTAGATAGATAGATATATAGATGGATGGATGGATAGATAGAGCTGTAGATGGATCGAGCTGTAGATAGATGGATGGATAGAGCTGTAGATATATAGAGCTATAGATAGATAGATAGATAGATAGATAGATAGATAGATAGATAGATAGATAGATAGATAGATAGATAGA